AAGATCAAAACCTGAGGAAAACTTTATAATAACCAGTCACACTTAGCTCATATTAAAAAAGACCATGTAGGTAGAGTCCAAAAGCAAATTGAAGGTCTACAGCTCTTAAGGCTGATGATTTTCTTTTTGGAAGATAGTACTTCCGGATTTGAAGGCGGTTTGAGCGGAACTCCTCATTGCCTGTATGATTGTCCATTAGACCAAACCACCACCCGCCAACCTACCCATCACAAAATGTATGCGTAACTGCTTTTTAGTGTTCCTGTTATGTAATCTACATTTCTTTCACTGTAGGATCTTCAACAAACAAATATTATTTCAGAGAGAAGAACAAGTCATCGAATGATTTCTATACCCACCTATGATCACACTATATCGACAGAAGAATCAACGGTTTTATAAAAAGTGTGTGGAAAAACTTTCATGAAGCTTCAGTAATTTAGTACAAATAACAACATATTTTTCTTATTCCTTTACGTTCCCAGTGGAACATAGGGGGCTTCAAGCTAGAGGCTTGAAGTTTCTGTAGCAGTGGTGTTTATTTATACGGGATGGGATTGCTAGCCTCCTGCCCAGCCTTCTCTCTTTACCAGTCTGATTACTGGCTTAGCGAGGTAAAAGAGTGCGTCGGTGGCCGGGGATCGAACCCCGGACCATGTGAGGCGTGGTCGGCTAGCATTCTACTGCTGTGCCAACGACGCATGATATGAAAGTAGCATTTTCCCCAAAACCTTTGTCAATAACGCAGGTTCATTCATCACTTCCAGATCCATTAAATCGTCATTACTTTAAACGTACTTATTGTTTCTACCATACATTTCTGTTCACGATACTTCTTTTGAATTTTTCTCTCTCCTACCTTTGTGTGCTACATAGAGTGTGACAAGTTGAAATGCAACACTTCTGTGCAAAGTTCTATGTTGAAACTCAGTCAATTAGTTAATACTCTCGTCTTATTCGGTTATTTGGAAGTATGAAAATCTTATGCGTAAAATGTAGATTAACTAGATCCAAGGGAGATACTGTCAACAGCACAGACAACTTCTAGATTCAGTGATGGTTTAATAATTAAGTTTATGGACAACAGTGAATTCTTATCAAAGAAAATACAAAAATATACACTTGTTTATGTGTATGGCAATAAGTCAAATAATATACGAATTCTAATGTGTCTTCAAGACCACCCCTATTTTGCGTTAAAACGCCTAATTTCGCCTCTTCCATGTGTATCTATCAATTCAACTGCTCCTATGAAGTGAGCCAGTTACATAGGCCGTACAGCTAGGTATGTTTCTCGTCAGATTTCCAAACATCACCCTGCGTGGTTAAGTAAGGGACAAACCAAATCTATTCGTAGCGCTATTCTATCTCATCTTGTGGATACACAACACAAGATTGATGTCAACGAGGCAGCTTTCAAAGTCATTTACTGCATACCAACATTTCTTAACTTCGCCTTAAGAGTTCGTTTACTAAATATTGCTGAGGCCGTTGAAATCCACACTATGAAGCCTGTGTGTTCAAAAGAAGCTAGTTCAGACACTGTCCTTATCTTGGCCATCTAGGTTTGAATGATCCTGAATTTTTGTGGAACTTTCTTAATCTTAGTTGATATTATATTTGCTATTATATTATTATTATAATTTAAGTATATTTAATCAACTGTAATTCCATTTGATCTTACTTAATAAATCGATATTATTTAAAAACCACTAATATTGTTATCGACTACTATTCTAGAATATTCTATGTGTATAAACATATATATAATTGTAAAGCCAGAAGGGTAAAATTATCGAAAATGATATTCTTTGCTCAATTATTTTGTTTTCTTCTAAATGTCTGAATGAATAGTTTCGCTAGATAGAAATATATAAACACAGGACCTAGAATTATTACATTTTTCCCTTTTACATTTAGAGTGGAACATAAAGCTTTAAGTTTCAGCTTTGAAGTTTCAGTGGCTGTGGTGAGTTTCTCACTGGGTTGGGTTACTATGCCCTCATGCCCAACCTTTCCTCTTTACCGGACTCACCAAGCTTACGAGTGAGTAAATCGGGAATCAAAATTCAGACCACATAGGTGGCCGGAGAATATCCTACTACTGAACGACAGACGTAAAGTATTACTTAGTGGTCCATATTAAAATATTTCTAGTATAAATCCGAAATAGGAAGAATTAAAACATCATCTAGAAGAAAGTTGCAGAGAACGCTTTGGAACGAAAGTAGTAGGGAGAAGGTAAACAAAGAAATATGGTTATGTAATCACTGCATATATCAGACACAAATGCATCTGCGTTACTTGAATAGACACTAAACGGCACTGCATAATATTTCAGTCAAAACACCAAGTTGTCTTGCTTAGTTTAGGCAAGAAAATTATGCTTCTTTGCATACCTGGAACCTGCATAGGATACTTACATAACTTAGCATTACACTTTTTCCGAGTCAATTCTCCTTCAATTACCACAGAAAACTGACATAGACAGTGTATGACTGAGCAAGTTTCGATGCAGGAATCTGCACAAAAGAGTATCATTTCAACTTATTACACTCCATATAACAGACAGAGGTAGAGAAAAAGAAAAGTAACTCAAAAGAACTATAATGATAAGGAGTGCAGGATAGGAAGAAAAATTACATGGAGAAACATTAAGGTTTATGGGGTCAGAGATTGAGAAGGGAGAATGAATCTTCGCCAATGAGTACGATTTGGAGCCACATCACTGACTGTCTCAAGCCATCGATTCTCAGTGTCTCTACCGATGACTTCATGGATTCATACCATGTTTTGATTAAACCACTCTTAACCCCTTTATGGCCTAATTCTGTATCATTTAATACCGCTCAACGAGGAAGGTGGTGGTCTGGCATGAGTAACACGTGTCTTAGCTATCTAAAACATTATATTTTTACACTGTATCGATTGGTTTACCCTCTTTACCTAACATTCAACTCCTTACCTCAATATTATTCATCATACTACACAGATTAACGCAAACATCTGTGGTGAAAGATAGCTGACGTTCTGATATCTTCCACTTTTCATGTCTACGACTCACAGGCATTGAGAGGGACAGAGCGAACTTCTGCACACCACACACGTCCTTTGATCGATAGCTGGATGACTCAAGATGTCGAATGACGCACGAAACTTTTGTATCCCCGCTGGAATTTCGTCAGTAATCCGTTTATTAGGTCTGATGTAACTTCCCAAATAGTTGGAGTGGTCAACACGCCCAACTACTTCACTCCCTATCTTTAAACTAGGAGTCGATACGAACCAGTCCTGCATCATCTTACATTTAACAGTGGTGAATCACAAGCCAAACTTACTGGGACTTTTGCTCAAGGTGTTAAAAAGACTGCATTTCTGCAGCGACTTTATCCACGTACTTTAAGTGGACGAGACAAGTCAATCGCTAAGTCGCTAAAGTCAGGGTGATGTCCATTAGTACAACTGTGATAAAATTAAACAAAGGTGGGGCCAATAGGCGTCACTGATAGACACCACTGGTTTACATCACAACAGATGACAACTCTCTATAAGCCCTTACACGACTTCATGATCGCTAGTGGAGTGCCTTAATCGGTGTGATATACTTTTTCCTTACTCTCTTCACGACATAGCTTACAATGCTACCTTAGTACTCACAATACATTAAGTGGATCGATTTTTGATGTTGCAACTCATTTCTTGGAGGTCATCTGTGCATAGGACTAAGTCACAACTCCATCAATACGACAAAAGCCACTCAGAAATTCCAGTAAAATCACAACAAAAAGCCACTATACTTTGAGTAGTTGTATTCAGTGAAAAATCGCGAGATGTCATAAAACTTTCAAGCTTCTGATATTTTAGTATGAAGCATTGAAAACAGGTCTATTGGCCGATTCTATTTTGCTATTTTCAACTTGGAATATTACATATAAGTAGCACAGCGCCATTACGCTGAAAAACAGCATTAAATAACTAAATTCTCTAGGGAAATAAGAAATGCTTGATAGGATTGACCGCCCCTTATTTTGTTAATACCCATCACAATATCTGATAATAAATAACTTAGACTCTTAACAGCTTTGTTTCTAAAATATGATTATTAGATTCAAAAGGAAGGTTAGGAAGAAGGTATAACGAACATTTTTGGTTCGTATGGCAATTGTTTTACACTATTCCCAAACATTAATGTGTTACAATGTCCTTATTTTTTCTCACTAGTGCCACACCAGTATATCGCTCCAAATCAGTCTTTGTCTTCAAATAAATACCTTGAGAAATTGCTTTTGGGCAAGTTATAGCAATTAACATCTTTGACCAACAATTTTCGACCATTAAGTGTAGGCCTATCCGCAACATTACTTCTTCCTCCAATTAAACATCTTCACTCATAAATACACTAGAAAATACTATCTAAAGACTAGTTTTACCTTTTAAACATGATATATGCTACTGACTAATGGGAATTTAGTGAGTACGCACACCAATAAATCTTGCTAGTTAAACAGAAATTATTTAAGACAGTGGAAAGTAGTTCTAATCATTTTTCGCTGACTTCATAAATGGTGCTCAGAGAACGACTAAAATGAGAGTTCAAGTGTTTTAAGCACAGTTTCAACGACCGATAATTGCAGCACTTGAAATCAAATGAGGTTTCCATCAAATGTTTATTATGACGTCAAGAATCTAGAAATTCAAATTTTATGGAAATTAAATTTTCTATGGCCTTTTCGTCTATCTATTAAAGCAATAATGGTTCCTAATTCAAAATTAAATGCAAGTTCGGCTGCTTTACTTCTATTATTGTCTCCCGAAATACTCCTCTAAGGCCATTAAAAGAACTTTTTGATTAATTACTTGGTGTAATTAACTGTATTTAACTTTTGATGCCTGAATTAGATTTTTTCTAGAAGTAGATAAATTACTAAAGCTTCAAACAAGTGCTCACTATGTTTCCAATTCTAGTATTTTATTCACGAAAATAAAGAAAAACAACTCACCTCGGACGAAGCGCTTAACAAACACGACCTTGATATCTATTGAGTTTCAAAACTGCTACACGTTCAAACAAAATAATGGAGTTAATATTAGAAATCATAACTGAATAAAAACTTTGACGAATCTTTTAATGTAGTTCTTTGCTCAATGTGTTGTTGCAGTTTTATTTTACTGACTATTAAATAACCGTACATTACCGAATCTTATAGTACGAGAAATAGACCGTGTTGACTGATTGGGTTTAGCTATAAAAGGTGGGACTTAGTTCTTTTGATCTATATTCCTGAAACAGAAGTACAGGCTCGTCTGAGTTTTCTAACGTTTTTTCTCAGGAGATAAATTAAAACTTGGCCAGTCTAAAGGTTGATTGTCTATTAAGACGAACTCATCACGTGAGTTGACTGAAGTATAGTAGTTTGTCATAGTGTGGCTTTTCCTCTCAATCGGCATTCGTTGTTGTTATTTCACTCCTAAACCGCAGAAGCCTTTCTTTGTGTGGGAGATCTTGTCGTGCCAAATACTCACATTAACTGCCGTATATCATTTAGGAAACTTTTTCATAAAACATTAATGGCATAAAATTATCATTGCCATATTCGCTAATTTAGGAAGAGGATTCAGAGCCGCCGACTTTCGAATTCTAGGTCTTCTTTATGTACTCTAACAGCTCTGTGATCTACAGGTTTTGCTGCTGATACCAATCTCCACAATCGGAATATGCCCAATTACCAAATTAACCGGTACCCTACATGACCTGCAAGCACTGAAAACAAAATGCGAAACAAAAGTTAAAACACCTTAACGACTAGGCAAGGGGCCTAGACGCTCATTTAGTCAGTATTAAATGGATTCAGTCTCATATGTTTATTTTAGCGCTGTGGAAGTTGCACTACAGGGTACCTCCAACTTAGAAGACTGGCAGAATACCAGCAGCGACCATCTGTAAGACGGATGAGAGAGATCTTTTCCATAATGAAGATGGCTTAGGTGACGTGTTGGCTCCAAATCTACTGCAACCATGCACTCCAGTGATGAAATGAAACTTTACGTTTAGACACAACTCTTTTCGTAAAGTTGCCAAAGCTTCCGTCATTTTACCCTAAAAATTTTTATTCTATGAGGAAAATATGCAGGGGAGAACTGATAATGATGGAACCGTAGAGTGACCCATGTGACATCTTCAGTTACCCATGGTATCCGATAATCGATGTTTTGTTGGTATGGTCACGAGAAAAATAAGGAATGTTAGTGTGCAGGAAAGAATATCGAAACCAAAGATTTAACAAGAGAAGTATGGATGCAAAGTACATGAATATTGGGCAACAAAACTAAAAAGTAGTAGGAGCGCACTTATTTCTTTGAATAATTATTTGGTATTTACACCTGTGACGAAAAGTGAATAAAATATATTAATTTAGATATATGAGGATAGTTGGTTTTTCACAGATGGGTATCACACTTGAAAAATACAATGGTACAGAAATTTAAACTCACTTAATCTAGGAACTCTGAATACGACCTTAGCCAGAGTACAAGTCAACTGGTGCACTTAGAAGATGCTTTGGTACTGTTGTTACCCGACTGCTGGAAAATCCAAGAATTTAACCAGTAATTAGGTCGGGTCCGTGATTTAACTTCCAAGTGTCTTCATGTCTTGATGATATAGAAGACAGCGATTCCCCCACACAGAAATCTGATTCTTGACCATCAATGCCCCACCAGGCTACTTGCAGATGTGTGCCATGTCATGATTCCAATGCATTCTCATCCCAACAGTTCCCGAATCCTCTTAAAAACTGTCGATTCAGACTGTTACCTAAATTCAGTTGTCACTGTAGACAGGCATCCACACTGTGCAATTCGCCTTTCCACTAAGGCTCAACAGACTTTTCTCGCTGTGGCATTTGTCATAGGGATAACCTTTAGTCAACGTATGTAAGTACGAGTGGCTATTGGTATTTGACAGCGACCCAATGATACCTAGATGAATTTGACATCAGGTGTGTCAGATCATCCAATCGGAGTAAACCAGTGTTTATGCACTTCCCAGCACTGTCACTGTATGCAAGTTTCATGCAGTCACATGCACACTGCTTAGTGGAATGCCTGTGAGCTTGTCTTAAAGTACGGTAATCTTGGTGACGGCAAGATACACATGTCATATTTCAACGTTTTGCTATAAATCTTGTACATACTCATGTCTGTAGTCTGAAATCCTGCCATTCTCCCCAATTTGAAGGAGCTGCCAATGTGCGAATTCGAGATCATTCATCTGTAAAGATGTTAATGGCATCAGAATTATGACAAATATCCGATCTCAGTTGCGTGATTTTGTGACTTAATCCACGTGAGGAGTATATGTTAGGGATGGTGTGAAGGGTGTAAATTGAAGGTTTACGATGCATAAAAACAGAAAACTGAGGACCTCTGATGCAACAATGGAAGTGTTGGATGAATCAAAAGACGAAAAGCAATTCACTACCTCCAAGGTCGAGTTGAGAGACATTGGAGAAGCTATTGATACACAATAATTCAGGTTCACTGCCCGGAAACTGGGGGACAAAACTATGAAAAATAGCCTCACTGAAGCCGTCAGAGCAAAGTTGGACACATTATATATATAGCATCATTTGGAAAGCTACATGGAAAGACACTGATAATCCCTGAAACTAATGCTGAAGGGAACTTGTACATCTATCTAAGGGAGGAAGTAGAGATAAGAAAAAGGATGGCTCTCTACGGACACCTGAAAGTTAATAGAATAGAAGAGGATGGTCGAACAAAAAATGAACCAGTGTAAAATTGGACAGCAGAAGGAGAACCTGAATGCAATTTATTACTCATTGAATACAGAAGTGGAGAAGCGTAATAGGGAGAACAATTGATAATCCTACGACACACTGGTAACTGTAGTACGACATGCTGCATGTAAAAGGGACCTCAGAAGACTTGACCAGGCCAAAATCCTTAAAGGGAGTAACACAGGTGAAACCAATGGAATATAGTGAAGGGAATCCAACTGAAAAGAAGACAAACGAAGGAAACAATCTCTGATCATTCCAGAGGATTCTCAAATCCAACGCCACCTACAGATCGTCCAAAAATAACACGGGCAGTCACAGAACTGCCAGTCAACACTTATCCTCCGACAAAAGCAGGAGTCTTGAACACCGTAAAATTACTGAAAGCCAAACAGGAGAGGAGCAGGATCGGACGAAGTTCCTCTAGGAGCATCGAAAGTGAATCCAGAGACCTAAGCGGTTCGAAAAGAAAGATAAGTATCTGTTTTTGAAAGAAAAGCTACTTCGTCATACTACCGAAGAACGGTGACCTGGGTCTTCACGAGGGGTGGTGTTGAGGCATTTTCCCGCTCACTTCAAGAGAATTATTATTTCTCACCATCCGAGTGGGACTAAGAAATTCACTGAATGCAAATATCCGCTCGGAACTAGCTGGACTCATGAAAAGCAAATTATGGGTGGATCAAATTCTAACGCTACATATCATCAAACAGAGCACATATTTGAATCCGCTCTAATACGTAAGAAGTGCCCCGAACCTTTATCAGCCTAATCCAACAATCATGTCAACTGAATCAAAACGGAGTGTACAACCAGGCCTTTGGAGTGAAGAAAGAAGTAAGAGAAGGATGCCTACTATCACTGATGATATTCCTAATTGTCGTGGACTGAATTACGCTGTGAACCGCTATCATCAGGAAGACAGGCATTCATTTGACCGGAAAGACTCTGGAAAATATGGACTTTGCCAACGACTTCCGTCTAATATCGCACAAACTCGGTGCTCCAAATTAGAAAACCAACAAGTTTGCGGAAAAGGCAGCAAAGACGGGATCTCAAGTGGAAACAGAAAAGACAGATTTGATAAAGATACCTGAGCAACAACAAGAAACGCCACTCAATACCCACGGGTGAAACCTGAGGCGAAATCCTTTCACCTGTCTTAGCATCGTCGTCTCAGCTACAGGCGGAGCGGATGAAGTTATCAAAGCCAGGCAAGAAGGACTGACTGTCATTACTCTAAAATTTGTGTGGAAATCTACTGCACTCAGAATATGAAACAAGATCGGAATTTCAAGTCAGTGATTCTATGTATTCCAAAGGCTTGCGATACGAAAAATGAGTTTCCAACTATCTGCGCACTTCCACCAGCCTATGCATTCACTCCACACTGAATATCATAAGAACGGCGAATGCGAATAAAAATGGGGATAGACTGGACATACACTGAGGAGACCGTTGCGTGAAATCATGCGCCAAGCCCTCAACAGGAACTTAAATGAGGAACGGCGAGTTAGTTGTTGGACTGTGAAATGGAGGAGATCGTATGAGGAGGAAAGTACAGCATGTTGGAAATCATGCGGCCAAGTAAAAATATTAAGGTGAACAGCATAAAACTAAGGTACGGTGCTGAAGCAGTATGCCCCACTCAGAACCCAACAATATAATCGTAATGAGAGTTTGCAAGTGGAGTTGCTACATCGTGTTTCACAGGCAGACAGTTTCATGGAGAACAAAGCAGGAGTCCTCTGTGTTACGCATGCGTTTTATGGGGCAGCTTGGATAGCCTTGTTGGGTGCATCAGCAGAAATACTGAGAAGAAGTTACATATCTAGATGCATTAAAACAGTGAAGTCCGAAATAGCCATCCCAATTTTCTTAAATGCTTCCAATGCTATTGGAGTTATGCCTAGTGCTCTGCCCTTACCTCCATCAATGCTATTAAAATATTCCCTCGTTGAGGAATAAAACGATGTCAGTAGCTTAGCATACTGAGAAATTCGCGCAAGGGTTTCATGAAAGACGGCATCGTGAGGCCTCGAATCACCCGCGTCTTTTCAGGTAGGCCATGTACATCAGCCATATACCATAGGACTAGATTGACTACTATCGAGTGTTTCAAAAGTTGGCGCAAAATCGTTGTATCTGGTCATGATAAGATTCTTCATTTGTGTTAGCTGCCAAAATGTCGTACAGATATGAATAAATGAAGTCATTTCCGTTCAAGTCATAACAAATAAATCGCTTTCATATCCTAGTGGCGTAGCATACGCAGAAAGGCACTCAGATGTAGTGGCTGCAGTCTTCGGAGCATTATCAGGAAGCACTAGGATGCGATAATATACTGGTAATAAATCAAGCCTGTTGAAAACACACGCGGCTTTCAAAGACGCAGTTAAGTCATGTATGCGTGGGAATGGACAACCATGTGGGATCATTCGGGTATTCAGTCTAAGGGATTCACTGAAATATCTTCATTCCATACCACTGTAAGTGCCTGGTTTTATTCTCAGGTGACTTTGCCTGTCACACTTACAGAAAGACTAACTTCTTTTGCCTAGGTCTAAATCAGTACTCTGCCTATCCTGCAAGTACTGAGGAACGAGTAAAAACAGAAAATAAAAGGACTCGCTACTTGCCTGTAACCAAACGTATATTTATAACGAATGTGATTACAACTCAGTAATATAAAAACAGGTTTACCACTTATCTATACCCGTAGGAGTAGGAAGCTCGAGGAGTATGCTTGTAGGAGAGTACAGCGAGGGAGAAAGCGTACAAGTGCCAAAATGTGCAAGAAGAGTAGTGCAGCACGCGAAGCGAAGTGGCGAAGTGGAGTAGTGCCAAAAGTTGGATGAGTGAGTTGAAACAAAAGTTCAATGTACACTACACCTTTCTCCTAATGCATCTCATTTAGAGGTGGAGACCATGGGATGTTGTATGGCCTAATTATCACCATTTTGAACATAAGTTCAGACTCAGTTTTAATGATCTGCAGGTCCTGGAGAGATACACACCGTGGTTTGGCGAATACACGTGGACCAGTTGTCGTGACAGGTGATACTGGAGGTCACACAAGGAATACCGCGATATGATTCGGTAATACTTGGAAAACATATGACGAAGGTGGAGTAAGTACTTGAAGTGTTGAGGATGGAATGCAGTTTGCTGATTAGAGATCTCTTAATGACACAATCAGAGACTGGATAGTCATGTGGTAGAATCTACCAGCACATGCTTGCCAATATTCACCTGAAACTGACCGAGTTGTAAGAGATCCATACCAATGATGCTGGTAGTCACATGGGCGAAGATGAAAACCCAGCCGAAAGAGCGGCCAAGTCCATTGCTAAGGTCAAGAAACCTTCTATCATAAGTTGTGAGTAAACCCTTGGTGGAAAGTAGTTATATGGTAGTTTAGTGCAGACATACTTTTGTCGAAGATGAGATTACACTGTCCACTGCTCTAGTATCAATCAGGGAATTTAGAACACAAAGGCGTTGGTTCGACAGCGAAATTAGTAGCCACCACAATGAGCGTTAAGAGGCTGACTGTATCGAAGGTAGGTTCCCTCTGTCGATCTGCTGGTGTAGCAGGAAGGACGCTGACTTCGGCGCCTGTGTCGACCAAATATCGGGTCTGGCTGACCACATTATGAATGTAAAGTAGGTGGCTAGTGCCATCTGCGACGGTTGCCGATAACGCGTGCCGATGGGATAGTTTCGCGCAGACTTTGAGAAATTGCTGAAGTTACATGGTTGCCTCCTGGTCATAGGTGTTGTGATATCAGCACCAGTCAGGGTTTTCTAGTGAACTGGGCTTGGACTTAGATCGATCACGTGAATTTCGCCGTTTAGTGGAGTTCGGACGACGATAGGAGTAATTACAAGGCATGTTTGACCCAAGCTTCTGCTGGATAAAGTTGCATAACTCTATCACTGCTGTACCCCTACTCGAAGTCTGTTTGGCAACTGAGCATATTTCAGTAACTGGCCGTTTAGTTATTTCTAGAATTTTATCTGCAGAAACATTACAAGTACAGTCTGTACTGACTGTGGCAGTTTGGATTAGAAGAGTTCTCTGAAAAGTCCTTCATCAAACTGACTTTGGCCAATAACCTCTCTCATTCTTGTCAGCAAGCTCACGGCTGACTGATCCCCTAACTCGACTTTGTGAAATAATTCGTCCAGACGCTGTCGATCCGTGAGAATGTTTCTCCTAAGGAGGGATGCTTTGAGCAACTCGTATGACCTGCTTACTCCTGGACTCGAAATCTGCACAGTTAAGCACTTGCTGAATTCCCACGGTAGGGCATTAATAACTGCAAGGAACTGTGAACGTTGATCAGTTATCCCATGCCCACAAAAATCAGACTCAGCTATCTGAAACTACGTTTCAGCATTATCTGGCCAAAATGGTACGAGCTGAGTAGTTTTGGCAGTTGAGCGAATACGAATGTCCTTAGGACTAGGATCACTCATGGCGGAATATATATAGTTTGAAAACAGTACAAGAACAAATACAAAATGGAACGAACTCACCGGATTTGTCTGTGTATTTACCAAAGATGAAGTTCGTGGTCGGGCTCACCAGTTTAGAGGCTGTGGGTATCGACGTTCGCAGATTGTACGGAGTAAACTAAAGCAAGATCTAATACCAACAACTTATATAGTATTCGTTCCTCGTGGACCAAAGGCAAAGCAAGAGACCAGAGTTGATCGTCCAAATTACAAGATATATTTCGGGACCAAATCGTAGACGGAGATGAATGCTTAGCTGGCTAGTGATCGTGCACGAACGTGACACGATGGAGTACCAAATGGCGGGGATGCTTGACCGGAAGCCTTCAGCTAAAGAAGTCGACTAATACAGTGAGGGTCAGCATCCAATGTTCAGTGATGATTGCTGTGGTCAATAATTTTGGGGAATTATTTAGCGCTACAATCTCACTGACTGTAAGATACTGGTTGTGCTGTTGATATACCACACTACGCTACCCTTAATACTCAGCCACCCACTTACTCAGTATACTAGATATCATCTTCAGGGCCAACTTCAATGTGTAGTGAGCCTTTGAATTTGTGCCTCGTGATGGTCGCCATCGTGGCTAGTTTTTCCTGTATTGATATTGGTCCTCAGAGTAACCTACTATTTAAATTTTTGTTGGTGTGACCTATTTTTTATGTATTGGTAAATTATATCTACACCCTTATGTCTACTAATAGCGAATCAGTTTAAGGATCAAGCCTCTGGAAATTCTATGGCGTTTCTTACATTTCCTCTGTCTAGGATTTTAACCTTGTTCCAGAGTAATTTGTTATTAGAGTGTAGATTTCATTGCTCGAAAAGGCATATCTCGCCTACATTTCTCTATTTGATAATTCTTTAACAAGATATTAACTGCATCTTTCAGAGATTTTGACACTATCCTTAAAGTTTCAAGTACACTTCATCAATAACTGCTAACGAGCATGAAATGTTCGTTCCCCCAAAATCTAATGAATAAAAGATTACGGTTCAATAGTAAAAATTCTGCATAAACGCATCCATTTGAGAAATGTATCTGAATACCAGAGGTTAGACAGTTTACTGTTTTGCCACAGGATCCCAAGACACACTCACTCTCTAACCACAAACTTATACAATAAAATGTTGACATTAATTCAGGGTGATCAGTTCATTAATCGTATAACTCAGCATAAAGAGCACGATCTGGATTTCTCACATTATTGTCAGTTAACTGCTTCTACATGATTCAGAGGCTTGACACACGCGTCATCAAAATACATTCCCAACAGACTGCTGTAGTACACATTCTGATGTTCAAGACTTGTTTTAACATATACACGTACAGACTGGAGCCAACGCCATTTTTACGCTCTTTGCTTATGTAATTGACAGTTACATTCTCTGAGTCTATTGTAAAGCCTTTCAGACTAGATAAGTTATAACATCCTTCTTCTAGAATTATCCTACCTTCTTGCTATATTCAAATATACTGCTCAAAAGCGCATAGTACTATTTATCAGAATCTATTTAGTTTGCGTCTTGTCATCACTACTTACAAAATAGGTAGACTACTTATTTGTTGGTATTATATGGTTGGAGACAACTGGCAGGAATCCTTACCTGACCTAGGTTTCGTGCTAGTTGGAACTCATCAGTCAACAAGGTGTATCTGCAACCTCGAAGGAACTCATGTCCCTTCTGAGATTCAAACCCGTGTCACCCAGTACTGCCCGCAGTAGGAGACGTTACCACTGAGCTATTCGGGCTCGCGATTGATCTCCTGTAGGACTTTATTGGATATTCAGTGCAGACTGAATTCTATCAATCAAGCTTGCAATATGGCCACCATGCTAGGTGGCTCGCTACCACGGAGCAAGCTTGACTGATACAATTCAGTCTGCACAGAAGATAGGACTAGACACATTACACTAGCTACTGACTAGTGTCCAATCAAAAAAAGACTACCGACTTATCAAACACCAGGCAAACTTCATTTAGTAGATTTGGTCTAATTTAGCTTATCTACAATAATACCAGCATTATACAAGACTTTCATCAAAATCCAAATTCCCTAGTAGATTCTGATGACTAGATTGCCAGTCAGGAAACAACAGCATACAGAAAGGAATTCTAGTTGTGCTGCGAACCAGCCGACAACCTAATCCTCAACAAATATGCAAGAGGAAATTAATATGGACTAGAATTATGCTGAAGAGGCAGCCAAGTTGTATCGCATATCAGGTAATCGCCCGAGTGGTACCTGAATTGGAAGAGAGCAGCATGCCGGATATCTGATGGTGCTATTAAAGGAGATAACGTAGTTAGTAGATAAAAACTAATTTCGAATTCCGCAATCCATTTAACATTTATGTAGACTACATTTGTCCCGTTAAATATTACTTCTGGTGTCACTAGTCTTACTCACTTCACTACTAATTCCTTTACTCGTCAACCAAAAGACATAGAAATTTTCTTCATGAAACCAACAAATGAACTGATATATTTATTTATTCTTTCTAAATAACGCAACTAATGGATCACGAAATCTTTGATACATTATAATTGATAAGAAAGGATGTACACATGGATACAAGTAAGTTATAAGTAATAATATTTGATAAAGCTGTGTCTTCTCATTTACATATCTTTTCGTAGTGAAAAAATTCAGCACAAAGTATATTTCATGCAGTATTAAACAAAACATATAAAACCAACCGTCAAGAAAACGCATCCTTTTCAAATCTCCAACAGCTCTTTGCATTTTAATATCATTGATATTTTCACAGATACTTATCAATCGTGTATAAGCATAAAAGCAGACAGTTAATGGGAATAAAAACCGATAAACAAAACCACAAATGGCTGAAAATGCAGCTATCACTATCTCTGGTCTATATTCACATGTAGAGCATAAATCGCTGCAGTCTACCCAATCCGAGTGTAGCGTATATAAACAATACAACGAGATACAATTCACCAATGTACCTAGAATAATAGCTACAATTAGCTGGAAAAAGTAAGTTCTACTGAAAAATGGTCTTAGCATATTATTATATCGTCCACATGCACTGCAAACTATACTTAAACCACGATAATTCATAATTGCCCAATAAATTAATCTTGTTCGCATTATATTACTTAATAATTGTGATTTTTCTACATAGTCTCTTGGTAGAAATGAATTCATCAAATTTGCTAAACATGCTAATAAATCAAGAAATGTTTGTACTAAACCAATTCCAATTGAAAATCTCGATTTAATTGTATGATCCACCAATGTTTTTGAGAATATAATCAAAGCTAAAACATTGCCTAGAAGACCAACACACAAGATGTAGAACTCCATTTGTTTATTCAGTGTTATTAGGAAGTAAGTAGATGATTGAAAGGGAATGCTAATGGAAATTTAGTATTGATTAGTATGATTTCAAAACCTTATGATTATTGAATCATGTGACATTAACTAGACTGTTATGTGTTAAAGGTGAAAAAGTCAGGCGAGCATAAAAGCAATAGTGAGGCGTTTTCGCGCATAATATAGCTAACGCCATAGTAGAAAAAGTTTGAAACAGCTAGAAGTAGCATCTGATATGATTACAGCATTCCTCTGACTGCATAATAGAAAATCATATAATCATATCTAATATCAGCAAATCAATGTGCACCTTGATGGCGAGCCACCTAGAATGGTGGCTACATTACAAACCTGACTGATAGAATTCATAAGAAAAAGGCACAAACAGCAAAGAAAATTTTCTTTTCGACGCAACGGTTCCTAAGAAGACTCTCTTCATGAGCCTAGAATTCAAAGGTGATGTCGCAGTGGAAATTCTCAGAAACCGTCTTTCTAAATGTCTGAAGAAGATATTTCCAACAGCCACTCTACGTATCATATTCTCCTGTAGACAGTTAATCCAGTCTAACGCTAAGGATAAGATACCGCTTTTGGCCACTTCAGTGTGTATTTATCAATTTACTTGCTCGTGTGGAGCAAAGTATATCGGCCGTACGCAACGTCAAGTCCACAAACGTATTCTGGAACACTGCCCAGCTTGGTTATCCAGAGGAGAAAAGAAGAATAGCAACAGCTCGATCCTCGAACACCTTGTCATCTCTGGACATCGAGCACCCCCACATGAATGCTTCACAGTGTTACACAGAGTCCCTCAATATCGTACAAAGGGACTTCGGATACGCCATCTGTACATAGCTGAAGCATTAGCTATTCGAGATCTGAAACCGGACCTCTGCATCCAAAAGCGATACATACATTCTCTTGCCTTACCATGGCCAGAGTAAAGTTCTTACCACAATTTTGCTTCTTTCCTTTATTATGTAAGTTCACTATTATTACTATTATTATTTTTATTTTATTAATACTTTTATTATCATTATTATTCCCATCATCCACATTTTATTACCACTCTATTACTGTTTATTAATAACATTGCTTTTCATACATATTTTATACAAAAACACTTTATAGCCTTTCCACTAGTTCCTGTCCATTTTACACGAGCTTATTGATTATTCATTATCTCACACTTATTACGTCATGCCAACTTCTGTCTCCTTTCTAACTTACAATTAGTCATCCCTTCTTACACCTTACATTATGTAATACAATTTTTCAAGGACAAAATTTACCAGTATCTGATTGGTCTAAAGATTTCTTTGTTAATTATAATTACGATTGTACAGCTCATGAAAATGAATCGTCGAAAAGAAAATTTTCTTCGCTGTTTGTGCCTTTTTCTTATGACTCAATATGGGAATATTTCGTTCATTGATAGAATTTAGTCTACACCAAAGAAAGGACTAGACACGTCACACTAGTTACTAGTGTCCAATCAAAATACCCACTACAGTCCTACAGGAGGTCAGTCGCGAGCTCGAATAGCTCTGTGGTAACGTCTCTGACTTCAGGCTGCACTGGGTGATGCGGGTTTTAATCTCAGAAGGGACATGAGTTCCTTCGAGGTTGGAGATACCCCTTGGTGACTGGTGAGTGTCAACTACCACGAGACCTAGATACAAGGCTTCCTGTTTCCGATTGCCTCCAACTATCTTATATCATAAAAGACCAACTACCTAAGGAAATTGAAATCATAATTGATCGCCTCCACGTTCTACCCACTAAAGTAGACTTAAAACGAAGGTGTGGCAAGTTTGTTTAGCAACAACTTATATACTTGCTGTGTACTAGGATATGTGTCCGATCTGTATACTACAATCTAACTACATCTTCATGATCTCTAATGTACAAAGCACTGTATCCTATAAATACCAACAACGTATCAAAAAGGTACAAGTGAAGTCTTCGGAAATTGTATTAGCAGCAAAGTTGAATTTTTAATGTACGTGAGACAAAACAAATGTTGATTAACCATGCAGTGTATAATAGGATAATCAAAGACCAATATCCAATTACATAATGGTAGATGTTCTTTAGGCATACATAAAATCAGTTTCTGTAGAAGTCTAATACAGGTTACAGAAATAGTTATAGAAATCTTTGGTTAGAGTTAATAGAACAGCACTACACACTTACCCATTCTACTTTGAAGAATTCAGATAGAATCTTACAACTACCTACTTAATGAATCATATGAGCAGAGGTTTGCTTGATTTAGAACCTAAAATATGGTGGATGATGGTATTGCTTGGGAGACCTTTACAATATTTAGGTTGGAATGTATTTGGAATGCCTAGAATGAACCTAAAATCGATTTGGAATAATACAAATAGGTGAAATTTCCTTATTTTAAGAAAATAGTACATATTTTGATTGGATACTAGTAACTAGTGTGACGTGTTTAGTCCTTTCTTCGGTGCAGATTGAATTCTGTCAGTCAGGTTTGTCATGTGGCCACCATTCTAGGTATATATATATATATATATATATATATATATATATATATATATATATATATAGTGATGAGTGAAAGGTTTTAGTTGCACGAAAATACACTCTTATTCCATGATCGTTAAGGATTTGTTTCATCTCATCGTATGTTTCTCTGCTGTAAGGAACCGCCGCTGTACCAACCCAATTCTTAGCAACGGGTTTCGATCCATCCTTATCGTCACATTTTAAAATTACTTTTTATGAAGACTTTAAGATAATTATTTGATACAAGAGTGGATTGAACCAATCATTTCAATTTCGCTGAGATTTTACAAATATAATTTTTACAAATGTCTATTAGCAATTACATTTGTATAAATCTCAGAGAAAATGAGACAAATCATTCGAACTTTTCATTAGGTTAACTCGCACGGCTGAAGCCCTATGTTCCTCTAGGAATTAAAGGAAACAATAATAATAATAATTAGGTTAACTGGTCCAAACGACTTCAAGCAAATGACTGAAGATGTGTACAAAAGGGGAAATCCTGTCTTAAAAACTAAGATTTATGAAAATATTATTTTCTACATCCTGTTTGATTTTCACTCAGTGACCATTGCCGACAGAACTTTCAGAGTTCATAACAATACTACTAACAACTTTATAGTAATATGATATTTCATAGAGGAATAATTTTAGGCTCCCGAAATGATATCACATCCCACTGCACCTATCAATTTAAATGTACTCGTGGTTACGTGTACACTGGGGGGAATCATCCGTCCCTTCAAACAACGGCTTCAGAGCATATCCCTAAATCCCTTCAGAAGCAGGTTGAATCCGCTGAACCCACTAATGGTGAAAACAAATGACCTGGCTCTTCCATTGCGAAACAAATTATAGACACATGGCATCAAATTGATGTTTACACCCTTTTGAAACTTTTCTGTAAAGCATAATTGAGGTGCGACATAAATTTTGTGTGTGTATTAGTGACTACGAAGTTTATACCACCTTTATATGTCAAAAAACAATTTGCCATTACATTAAACCTTCCTTGGTAAACTTTGTTTTAATACAGCGCAGAAATACTGTTATCTTTGGAATATGGAGCTCCATTGTTGTTTTAACTTTCAATGTAGTCTTTTAAATTGATCTATGTTCATTCTGTCATCCTTTATTTTCATATATATTTATTCATTATTATAAAATATTTTTGTATTTCCCGATAAATGAAAAATATAGATATTGTTTTTACGTCAAACACACTGCAAAACAACCTTGTCCATATAAAAGACCAAATCCCTAAGGATTCTCAATCTAATTGCGTCGATAAAATAAAATGCTCAAAATGTGATCTGATATACATCGGATAAACGTCACCAGGGAGAAATCAAAATCAGAAGAAATGAACACCGTAAAGCCGTGTCTGTTCGACCACTGAGAAATCCAGTTGAACTAGAAAAGCCTGAAAAATCATCAGTCATAGGTCGTCTACACGCTATAGAATCACGTCACAAAAATGATTTTGACAATACTGAAATAGTCCAGGAGGATTTCAGAAATCACAAAGAATGTCGAATATCATCAGAAGCACTTCATATCAAGTGGAATCCAAATTGTCTGAATAGTCTGAATGATGGACTAAAACAGAATTTGACCTGGTTATAACAACCCCTTTCCCCTATGAAATGGCAAAATCAACACGAATGTGATGAGCGATTTCATCACATAAACGCATGCTGCTTTTAACATTTTCACACTAATTAAATCCAACAATTTACACCTGGTTTTGTTATCTTTACCAACTAGCCGATTTGACAACGGAAAAATGACCCCATGCTGAGGAACGATGATTAAGTTTGTTAGATATAAGCTGAGATTTTTGTAAATTCTGGTTTAATGTCACTACTTTGATAAAGCTATCAGCTTTATATAGCAAAAAGTGAGTAAAAATAATATTGTTCTGTTTTTCATTCATTAGGGAATACAAAAACTTTTATAATAATGAAAGCTTCGCAAATTAACTAACTATCTGGCGCGAAGAACACAACCACATCAAAATGTTTTGCTTTTTGCAAACAAAAAAGTCCATTTTCCTCACTTTATGAGGACATTCTGCCTTCTATCTTTATTTGCGTAGGCACTTAAGGTCAGGGGAGATTGGCAACTAATATTAGTTTCCAGTCTTCAGACAATATTACTTATCCCCTTCATGTATCGAAACTTAAACGTAGCATCGGATTTCCAGCAAATTAACCAACCCGAACAACAGTCTCTTTATCATTTTGGCTACAGCTTACTGGTCATATCATTTCTTGACCGAAATTTTGGGCTTCCTGACAGTCATTAGCAAACAGCGTTTGGATTATCAAAGGAAATCGGGTCCGTTCTCATTCCTCAAAGAAATTTAACCTTCAGTGGTAGTCCAGTGGAAGGATACACATGAAGCACGCTCGTGGTCTGTGTTTGATTCTCATCCAACGCACATTTAAACCTTGCCTACCTTATTATCCAGGAATAGGCCTGGAACGGATGGAACTTTGGGAGTTGAAAGAGGCTAACGCGCTCACCACGTAAAAAAATACCACTACGATAACAGAAACTTCAATAGCTTGGAGAAGGAATAAAAATGCATAGAGTAAAAATTTATAAGTGATTAGCAAGCCAAAACTAATCAAAATAAGCAGATACAAGCCAGTATAATGATGGTCTATACTACAAATTAAGATTTCCTGAGAATAACATCTGCTCAGTAAGTACATTTCGAGCATTTGAGAAACATAACAAGGCAGAAGTAGAAGTTGGTTATAGTATGAAAGAATGAAATATCTAAACTTTCACAGTAAAACATAAATGAAAAATAAACTAACTATATGGTGATTACGCTCACTTTAACTCCAAGCTCAACTTACACAGCACTGGACAAAGAAGTGAAGAAGAGTGCCAGGAAGGACAAAAAAAAAATTCTACGACAAACTGGCTACTGAAGCTGAGAAGGCATCAGGCAAAAGGCATCTGAGGACACTATATCAGATAACCAAGTCTCTATCCGGGAAGCGATCAACACAAGTAAAACCTACAAAAGGCAGCCAAGGGAACCTAATTACCAAGGAAGAAAAACAAATTAAACAATGGGCGGACCACTTCAAAGGTCTCTTGAACCAATCACCACCTGCAACCCGTCCAGAAATACCAACAACAGCACGTACACAACTGCAAGTTGACACCAGTCCTCCAACGAAAGCTGAAGTCTTGAATGCAATCAAACTTCTGAAAGCTGGAAAAGCAACTGAACCAGATGGAATACCCCCGGAAGCACTGAAAGCGGACCCAGAGACGACAGCAGATATGCTGACTCCATTATTGCGAAAAGTCTGGAAGGAGAGAAAGGTGCCTACTGACTGGAAGAAAGGTTACCTCGTGAAACTACCAGAGAAGGGCGACCTAGGACTCTGCAAGAACTGGCGAGGAATCATGCTCCTGTCGACGCCAAGTAAAATCCTGAGTCGCATCATCCTGGAGAGAATCAAGGACGCACTGGATACAGAACTCCGACCAGAACAAGCTGGATTCAGGAAAGGCAAATCATGTTCTGACCAAATTGCAACTCTACGCATTATCATCGAACAAAGCATGGAATGGCAATCAAATCTCTACCTCAACTTCATAGACTTTGAGAAGGCTTTCGACAGCGTTGACGGTGAAGTAATTTGAAAACTACTCGAGTACTACGGCGTACCACAAATATCCATCAAATGATCCACAACGGAAAACTCAGAGAGGCGTTTGGAGTAAACACAGGAATCAGACAAGGGTGCTTATTATCACCAATGATATTCCTAATTGTGGTGGACTGGATTATGCGTCAGACAGTGGGAAACGAGAAGACAGGGATATCCTGGACCGACGTGAAGAATCTAGAAGACCTGGATTTCGCGCGTGGATGATTTATGTTTGATGTCACTTAAAATCGAAGACTTACAAGCGAAAACCGACAAACTGGTTGAAGAAGCAGCAAAGACAGGACTCCAGGTTAACATAGACAAGATGGAGGTTATGAAAATAACCAACCAACAACAACAGCAACATTCAGCGCCAATCACCATCAACGGGAGGGATTTGAAAGAGGTTACTTCATTCACTTATCTAGGGAGCATTGTCTCAACTACAGGAGGAAAGGACGAAGATGTCAAATCGAGAATCGGGAAGGCGAGAAACACATTCATCCACCTGAAACCAATCTGGAAATCTTCGTCACTCACCATCAACAACAAAATTCGGATTTTCAATACAAACGTCAAGTCAGTCAGTTCTTCTATACGGATCAGAAACTTGGCTGGTCACAAAGAATATTTCCAACAGGTTGCAGGCAGACCTTTTTCGACAACTGTCTTCGCTGGCTCTATACTGAAGATGAGATGGCTGGAAAGAATCACCAACAAGAAACTATGGGAACAAACGAAACAAGAACCAATCACCCAACAAATATGCAGAAGAAAGTGGAGATGGATTGGACACTCGCTGAGGAGGATGATGGGTGACATTGCGCGTCAGGCCAACGCTCAAGTGGAACCCGAAAGGGAAGCGACGAGTTGTTCGTCGGTGCAAGGGTGACATGGAGGCGATCGTATGAAGAGGAGTTGAAACAGTATGGACTAACATGGATGCAAATGAAAAGTACAGCAGAAAACAGAAGCAAGTGGAGGCGTGCAGTTGAAGCCCTATGTTCCACTAGGAACCCAAGGGAACAATAATAATAATAACTTCAAGCACCACTAACTACCAATCAGCGAGTGACCTCGAATGGTCCAATGAGGATCATGCATTTGACTTCAAGGTTGTATTCCGCTTGATTCGTATCAAATGCATGCTCTAACGAACTTACGCTTGCAGTTCGAGGACGATAAGGTTTTGCAGTATTGCCTGGATTTGAGGTTGCTTAGGAAGGAGAGGTGGTGTCATGAGTTTAAAAAGCTTTAGCAGGTCGATTGATGGATATGTCCATCGTTGTGCAATTCGTTTGAGACGAGTTAGTGTCAGCGAAGATAAGTTGAAAATTTTAAAATTTCGCAGGAACATTTTTTGCTAGGTCTCATCTCTCCCTAACCCAGATTTCGCATATTTGTAATTACTGGGTTTTAAAACAGCCTGTGGGAGGTGCAGCTGCTGAACTGAAAACAGCCTCGTGTATACAGTTCAGTGGTACCAGCACCGCAGAGACATCGCCTTAAGGAAAATGGAGAGAATTACTTCGCTGTTAGGCGAAGAAGGCATCGTCGTGCACGTGGACGAAACTGTGTTACTGAAGAAAAAAATACAACCGTGGTCTTGAGCGATCCAACAATGTTTGGGTGATTGGTTCATGTGACATCTCCCTACGGAAAGGATTCGTGGAGAGAATACCAGACAGAAAATCTCCTACCTTAGTACCTATTGTCACTCAACTGGTGAAACAGGGATCTATGGTACATACTGATGAATGGAAAGGTTATATCTCGCTGTCATCCCTTGGATATATTCATCACAGAGTGAATAATTCCAGTGATTTTGTTGATCCAATTACAGGGATACATATACGAATTCTACAAAAGGAATTTGGGGGAGATTAGAAAATAAGAGTAGGGCTATAAATGGATCTCATTTATAGTCATTTGGATGAATATATGTACAGAATGTGGTGTAACTTTTCTGTTGACACTCCTATTCTAAACTGGGAGATGTTTCTGTCCCATGTTAGAGAAAGATACTCTATGTAAAAGTTTTATGCAGTTTTTATGCTTTTTTCCCCAGAAATATACGTTCTCCATAATCAAAATTCCCTGTTTCATGTGATTGGTTCGTTGAAGGTCGTTCGCTGATTGGTAGTTAGTAGTGCTTAAAGTTTAACTTCGCCAGTGATTAGAACAAACTGGATAGTTATAAATTAAAAGTTCTGAAAATTGTGGTTAAAAACCCGTTGAAGAAAATAGTGGCATCCCTGGAAAGATTCTGAAATAATTTCTGTAAAGTCTTGCGAATTTCATCAATCTGAACCAATTCGACCTCAAATTTACTGCATTCTACACTAATGAATTATCACCCTTTAAAATACAGTCGTAAAGAACACTTATCATACTGTTTGCAATATAAAAATCAAGGTTATTGAGTTAATTATGGGACTTTATTTTAGTTTTTATCCCCTTGCCTTCTGAGTGAAATATAGGACTTCAAGCTTTCAAATTTGAAGTTTTAAATAGCGATAGTACTGGTATTTGTCGTATGGGGTGGGGTTACTAGCTTCAATTACGCTCAACCCTCCTTCTTTTCTTCGACTTACTACCGATTGTTAAACTAGGATGAGGTTTAAGAAGGCGTCGGCTAAGGAACACACTGCAGACCATATGCATCGGTAACGAATATTCTGTCAATGGGCCACTGCTTTGAAACCGAAAGGTCCCGGGTTCGACCCAGGGTGGCTGAGTAGTGGTGAAGAGTCCTGAACTGGGACGGAACAGCTAAGAAGTACTCACTGGCTTTCCAGTAATTCCCTAGCTGATGTTTGCTGGTGTTCAGACCTTCAACCAATCAAATCCCTGCAAACCAACGCCTGAAAGTAGTTTCAGGTATCAGCTTGGTAGAAACAAACGATACTCTGTTCCACAAGCTGTGTTTCCCATCATTTCCCCTGGTATTAACTTAGTGTCCCCCCCCCTGCCCCACCCAATAGATTTATCACTCACCGAGGGAACTTCTGTTCTTTAAATGAGGTATTTTCCTTCTTCAAAATGAACAGCGGTAAATGTTTTATAGAAAGAAGTAATTTACACTTTATGGAAAATTAACTGTATTACACAATTTTTTTAAACAATATTCACTTGTATACTGGTATATGTTATCAATAATCACCGGATTAGAAATTATCAAAAAATTCATATGGTCGATTCGAAAAAAAGAACAATCTTCACCTTCAATGTGTGTGTGTGTGTGTAAAAAGAGAATGAAGACATCATTTACTGGGAGAAAATGAAATATGGCTTCTTTTTGTTTTACTAGATAGTAAAAGTAATTTGGCGCGAAATTCAAAATGAAGAAACAAAATGCACATGAGATGACTGCAAATTAATGAATGAGTTGATTAAAACTGGAAATAACGTAAACAAAGGTTCACTGATGTGTCTTCTTCCTCTTCAATTTTTCACTTTTTTCTCCATTTTTAAAATAAATTTGAAAAATTTCTTTCTTCCCTTTCTGTTTTATTCCTTTTCGCGTTCACTTAATAAATGTTGTTTTTCTTCTTTTCTACTTCTAAAATCATAAATTCTATGCATATAAATAAATGGTTTCAATAAAATTGAACATAATATTAATATCGTAATAATAATACTGCATATCATAACTTGTTCAAGTATCATTGGACCTTTAACTACAATACTGATTAGTTCAATAATTGTAGAATTGTTTAAATTAGCTGATTCATTGAAATATACCAATGGTAATAATAATAGATCAGGTATTTTTGATAATTGTTTAATACTTTTATTCTTTTTCAGGATAATATTCACTTGAAATTTACTTTGAACATTTAATATAACACCAGTATTTGGTTCTATATAAAATTGAGTATTGAATTCATCACTTGGATGTATCCCATCAACAGCAGTTTGATAACTTTTATCAGCCTGTTAGCAAAAATAGAGACGAAAATCAATCAATCAATCAATGATGACTGGAAGTGAAATGAAGATCTGAATAGGAGAGGGACTCAAACAAATTGCCCTAGAATTTGCAGCCTTCTAGCTGAGTCACAAACTAGGTGACCATTCCATTGCAATGCCCAGCTGTTACATTAGTGAATGATATACCATTGTCTATTTAACATTATCGAACACTGATTGGATACTAGTAACTAGTGCAATGTGTCTAGTCCTTGCTGTTTGGTTCAGACTGAATTCTATCAGTTAGGTTTGCAATGTGGCCACCATTCTAGGTAGCTCGCCATCACGGTGCACATTGATTTGATGATATGAGATGTCTGGAGGCTTCCTGTGGCCTATTAACTCCAACCATCTAATATAATCAAATCATCAAACACTGGCAGTCTGGCAACTGGATCGTCTCACAACCAAACAAATGACGCTATGTACTACTACTACTACTACTACCCAGCTACTACTGCGTAGCTGGATGCCACTCATATCAACCAGATTATTGAAGTGATTTAAACGTCTAACAATCATTTAGCTTCTTTTGAGGCTGACCTACGAATAGTGTTCCCAATCTGATCCAACTCAGAGAAATGAATCAGTTAAAACTAACTGACATCTGGCTAACTACTTTGGTAAACTACATTATACATTAAATCAAGTTCACAATTTGCAGTTTACACAATTCGAAGAGGTGGAACTTCACCACAGTTTCCTTTGAAAACTGAAATTATACAGGCCACAAAATATATGATCTAACTGATACCATAAATGTTAATCAAGAAAGTAACCATAATTGCGTGACACTATTATATACTACTGATTGGCTGATATGAGTAGTTGAATAACACTCCCAATAACCATTAGTACTGGTTATCTGAATCGGTGGCGCAGCGGTAGAGTGCTCGCTGACCACGCAGGTGGTCTGGGGTTCGATCCCCGGCCATAGACGCACTCCTTTACCTCTCTAAGCCCATAATAAGGCTGGTAAAGAGGGAAGGTTGGGTATGAGGCTAGCAACCAACCCCACCCTGTAAAGATAATCACCACTGCTACAGAAACCTCAAGCCTCTAGCTTGAAGCCCTACGTTTCACTGGGAACGTAAAAGAATAAAAAAAGAACTGGTAAGCTAGACTGAAACGATTTGAGGTGAAGTTATTCAGTAATTTATCTTACGGAGAGAAAAATCGGAAATGAAAAACTATTGGTTAAATACTGCAGATTTTTTGTGGTATTATTTATCAGCGTAAATTCAGTTATCTTACAACAGAATCAGTCTAGAATATTCAAGTTTCAAAATCAACACCTTGAGATGTAGCCACTGAGTTGAACTTGAATGTTTTTGGATTGTCAAACTGTAAAATTTGAGAAATACCTTCAATGTTTTCATAATTGATATAGTAGAACCTAATAATAAATGCCTATGATCAGGATTTCAAGGAAGTTCAGCCTGAGGTTAGTCACAGATGAGAGGTAAATTCAAAATCTACATTTTATATCCGTGCTGACTTAAGTGATTTCATTGTGTGTAGTAAAATCACAAACCAGTTTAGAGTTATAACATTAATACACACATGCGTATTATAACCAGTGTAAATTATATGGAGGGAAAATTCTGTATAAGAAGTTATTATTTTTGGTACAATTAAAGACATTGTTGTGAACAGGTAATATAGTTCCCTGAACTTCTTTATATTCATTCAGATACATATTTACTATTGTTATTATTCTCCCTCTCGGATTCCCAATGAAGCAGAGGGTTTTAGGACCACATCTCCATTTCACTGTGTTCTTTGTTGACTTTACAGGTGGCTCCATGGTTATCCCAAAGCTTTCATTACCTTTCAACTCATAGCTCCCATTTAGGTCCATATATAAATATATATATTGCGCTGGGAGTATAATATAGGGTTCAAGACTTGGTCTTGAGGCTTCCACTAGCATGGGTGCTGTATTGACAGAGTGCGGCTGGTAGCCTTACAACCAATCTTTCTCCTTTTCATGGCTTCCTACAGGCTAGGCGAGATTTAGATGTGTGTTGGCCGACGATCGAACCTAGACCTTCCTCGTGGTTGGTGATAATTCCACCATTAAACCAAGTAAATTTAATTGATTTTGTACAACTTCTATGCAAAAAACATGTAAAAGGACAAAATTATCAGGCCACTTCGACAGAATGACAGGTTATCTATTATTTACAATATGGTGTGGTTTTTACATGCTTAAATGCAATGTTTAGAATGGTTTAGAGATAGGTATTGGGCTTATCAACACTAATTATCAAGAAGTATCTACAAAGTTAAAGAAACTTGCGTGAATAAATATATGCAAAGTCTGTTTTAAATGAGTAAGAGTCATGAAATGGCTGAAAAGTGTCAATGTAGGCTGAAACATCTGACCAGCGCTTTCGGGTTATCAATGGTCTTCCAACCCAACCAAATTTCCCCTTAAAATTGAACACCAGAGAATAAAAGTAGTCAGACAGACAGACATATAGATAGATAGATAGATAGATAGATAGATAGATAGATAGATAGATAGATAGATAGATAGATAGATAGATAGATAGATAGATAGATAGATAGATAGATAGATAGATAGATAGATAGATAGATAGATAGATAGATAGATAGATAGATAGATAGATAGATAGATAGATAGATAGATAGATAGATAGATAGATAGATAGATAGATAGATAGATAGATAGATAGATAGATAGATAGATAGATAGATAGATAGATAGATAGATAGATAGATAGATAGATAGATAGATAGATAGATAGATAGATAGATAGATAGATAGATAGATAGATAGATAGATAGATAGATAGATAGATAGATAGATAGATAGATAGATAGATAGATAGATAGATAGATAGATAGATAGATAGATAGATAGATAGATAGATAGATAGATAGATAGATAGATAGATAGATAGATAGATAGATAGATAGATAGATAGATAGATAGATAGATAGATAGATAGATAGATAGATAGATAGATAGATAGATAGATAGATAGTGACAGACAGATTCACTTTATTATTACCAAAATCTTGAATATTTAATTATTATGTTAGATGTGTAGGTAAAACGGTGAATTAAACCGTACTTCAATGCTCTCATTGATGAAATTTTTCGATCTAATTCTTGGATCGTTTTGCTCAACTAAGTATGTAAGAGTGATGAAATAACCGGCAGGAGTAAATAAAACTACTCATCTTTCTAAATATGCCACTTCGTAACGAAATATTTACTAGGTGAAGTCAAACCTCTCGGGATTCTAAAACATTGTCATTCTACATCAAGTAATACAAATCTTATAGGCGAGTCATTATCATATTATTATCACCTTGGGTTCCAGGTGGAACCTAGCGCATCGAATAAATCCATATCATCACGCTTATTTTCACTTTCATCGGAAGAAGATACATTCGATGGTTGGCTTTTCGAGGGATTTTACTAGCCCGCCTCAACGTCTTTCTCCGAATTCAGGGAAGTATGAGTTCATTTTTTTAGATTTTTCATACTTATTTGAAATTTCAGTGGAAAATGGATGGATTATCCGGGATAGAGTTGCTAGCCACGCGTCCACATTCCCCTATTTTCCAGGGCGTAGGATCGGTGAGGAAACTGGTGAACTAGGCGATGTTACTATTGTATCAGTAAATACAAAATTATAAAAACAGTTGCTTTTGATACTATAACATTTCCAGACTTCCAGCCTAACTTTTCTACTGCTTATCGCATTCTCACAAAAAATACGATAATGAACTCATGTTTACATGTTCATAAATTTCCATGGAATATTAGTTTTATTCATTAAATTGTTAAATTCATAGTCGAGAAGATAGTAATGTTGGTGCACAGATCTCATCACAACCACAGGAAACTCATCTTCAAACAATTCACTAGATAAATAGTAGAAATTGTCATTGTGGGAGACTCAGGTATGATTGTCGACCTGGGTATTTCTTAGCCTCGCCTAGCCTACAGTAAGTTTAGAAATGAGAGAATACTGCACGTTAGGCCAGCAACTTCACCCCATATATATAAAAACACCACTGCTACTGACACTTTAAAGCTTGGAGTTCTATACTCCATTCAGAATTTAAAAGGAATAAAAGAAAAGAATGAGAAAGATATATTTGACAGGCTAACTGAAAAAAACTTTTAACCTTGTTATTATTATTATCATTATTCCCTTGGGTTCCGAGTGGAGAATAGGACTTCAACAACACATCTGCACTTTCTCCTATTTTCTACTCTCCTCTTCAACTGGGCCCACGACTACTCACAATCTCTCATGTCCTCCTCGCCACACTCGTCACTTCTCATTGGGACTCCACTCAAGAGTGCGATATCATTCGACTGCCTCCTCAACATATGTACAATCTATCTCCATTTTCTGGTTGTTGTCTGTTGGATGGATCCAGATTATTCTGTGCCAATGTTTCTTCTTTCTTTGTACAAAATGGATATGTTCTGTTGAGGATCTATGTTCCACTCACAACCCATGAGAATAATAATAACAACAAGAATCTCGTCGGTTAATTTTCCTTCCATACCTAATACTCAGCTTCTAATCTGAGCACCCGTTATCAAGATGTGTGTAATGTAATGAAGACACTGGTAGTCAAAAACCAGTCTACTTTCATTGGTTATTTTTTCACAATGATAAGTGAGGATAAAGCCAGCTGGTGTGAAGTACATATGGCTTTTGATAAATGTGCTGCGGAATTTCGAAAAATAGAATGCACCACCAAGCTTGTTTCTTATCTATGTACCTATACCTCACTCAGTAATAAATAGTAGTTAAGTATATGATAGCTGATTTAAATTGTTTTAGTCGATAAACTAATTGATTACCACTCATTCAGTTACAATCTACAAAATGTAGGTTAGTTATATAATCAGTGAGAATAGAATCGTGAAATTTAATTCCAAATGGCTAAATATTTATCGCATTTTC